CCTTCGCGGGCGATGGCGATGTCGAAGTCTTCGTGGGCGACGGCAACGCCGAAGGCGTGGGCGACGTCGCGGCCGTCGGCGACGTGGTGTCCGCCAGCGATCTCGTTGACACCACCCCTCTCGGAAGCGCTCGGCGCCTCGTGGGGGCATCCGGGCGGGGGGGCGTCCAAAGAGGGGGGATCGCAGAGCAGGGCCGAAGGCCCGTGCGCAGGCGAAGGGGGGTGGCCAGGGATGCGTCGAAAGAAGACGAGCGGGCCATGAAGTCCGGGCAGAGATCGTGGCCCCAGCCATGACACCCACACACGCCCCTGGTCGTCCCCCCCTCTCTTTTTCTTTGAGGGCGCACGGGGCCCCCAGAGACGAGACGGGCAGGCGCCTGCCACGCCTCTTGCCTCTTGAGAGCCATCCCCCCCCCGCCATGGGCCGCCCCCGCGCCTCGGCGAGGCCGTCGTGTGGCCGAACCCGGGCAGCAGCAACCGGCAGGAGCCGCTGCGGATGATGTAGACCTCGGGCAGAAGGGGGGAGGAGGAGGGGGGAGAAGGGGGAGAGGGGGGAGAGGGGGGGAAGCAGGGAGGAAGGAGGGGGGAGGAGGGGGGAGAGGAGGGGGGGAAGGAAGGGGGAAGGAGGGGGGGAGAGGGAGGGAGAGAGGAGGGAGAAGGCCAGGGTGTGAAGTCCCCCCCCCCGGCCAGGGTGTGAAGTCCCCCCCCCCCTTCCTCCGTCTAACCATATCACCACCGTCTGCATCCAACCGTCGCCTCCCGTTGCCGCTTCCCGCTCGGGGCTCCTGGTCCATATCCCAAAGATGGTCATCTCAAATATTCGTGGCTGATCAGCTACGTCACACGCACCGCACCGCAGCAAGTAGAAAAGAAGCAGCCCGAGGTGACCGTAGTCTCAACACGTCGCTGAAACAAACACGCGTGGGGAAAACGAGCCTGGCGAGGGCCGGGCCCTTTGCAGCTGCGCTTAGCACAGGGCGTGCCTCTCCTCCTCCTCCTCCTCCTCCTCCTCCTTCTCCTTCTCCACCTCCTCCTCCTCCACTTCCGCCTCCGCCTCCTCAAATTCCTCCTCCTCATCCTCCTCCTCTTCCTCCTCCTCCTCCCTTCTCCTCCCCTCTCCTCCACTTCCTCCTCCTCCTCCCCCTCCACTTCCTCTTCCTCCTCCTCCTCCTCCTCCTCCTCCTCCTCCTCCTCCCCCTCCTCCTCATCCCCCTTGTCCCCCCCTTTTCCTCGCTCCTGGTCGCTCCTGGTCGCTCCTGGTCGCTCCTGCTCGTTCTTGCTCGCTCCTCCTCCTCCTCCTCCTCCTTCTCCTCCTCCTCCTCCTCCTCCTCCTCCTCCTCCTCCTCTTCCTCCTCTTCCGCCTCCTCCTCCTCCTGCTCCTCCGCCCTCGTCCTCCTCCTCCTCCTCCTCGTCCTCCTCCTCCTCCCCGTGCTGCGAGACGGAGCAGCGCGGAGCAACGCTGAGAGGGGCGGCTGTGGAACAGGCGCGCAGACTAGCTGAGATCCCTGTAGGGCACGATCCGCACGAGACCGGCGCCCCCAGATGGGCGGAGCCCTCCGTGCGAACGGCACACCGAGTCGCACGGCACGATCCGCGTCAGTGGTGTGCCTGGGCGGGGGTAACGCATGCGAGTGCCTCCACTGGGGCCATAGGTGGAGCTCCCCATAGGAGGCGCAATCTGCATGAGGGGTGCGCCGCCGAACGGGGCAGTGGTAGTGCATGCGAGTTTCTTCGTTGGGACCATAAGCGGAGTTCCCTGTGAGGGCGCGAACTGTATGAGGGGTGTGCCCGACGGGGTAGCACTAGTTCTTGCGAGTTCCTCCACTGGGGCCGTAGGTGGAGCTCCCTATGGGGGACCACGATCTGCATGAGGAGTGTACCAATACGCGTGGAGATAGCGCGTGCGAGTTCACCCACTGGCGCCATAGGTGCGTCTACCTTGGGTGGCGCGGTCCGCATGAGGCGTGTTCAGAATTGGGCCGTGATGCCGCATGCAAATTCCGCGCACGATGCGATTTACAAATCGGAGTCGTCCCAATTTGGACCCACAAGGAAGAATTCAGCAGTGAAGCGTCTGGTTTCTTAGGAGATCCTGGTGGCCAGTGATACCCGCGAGCGGTGAATGCTCAGTGAGGCGCAGCTGGCCGATGGTCTTCCGAAGCAATCGGATCTTAAAGTGCTGGAGCTGCTTCTCACCAAGCAGGTGCTCGTGGCGCACAGTTTTCGGTTTCCAGATGGTGGTGAGCCTGAGCCTAAGGCAGGCTTGCGGCTTTCGGCCTGGAGTTTTGGGCGTGTGAATTCAAGTCCCCCTGTCTCGCCCTATACCACCGCATGTCTCCGATCAACGCCTCCCGCTGCCGTCTCCACGGGCCCTTGAACCAAACCGTACACAGCATACTCCACAGAGCAGATTGACAGAAAGAGCGCGACCGTCGCACACTCCCAAAGGGGGGGGGTCCACCTCAGCTATCCGCTCCCCCCCTTGGACCCCACCTGCCCGAAGCCCCCCCCAAACCCCTCCCCACCCCCTCCCCGTTCACGCTCCGGAAGCTCCCCCCCCTCCCTCCCATTCTAAATGGGGAGGCTTAGCTACCCCCTTGTTGGACTCCTCCCTTGCAGAATCCCCTCCTTTTTTGCCGCACCTCGGGAGCTACCCCCCCCTTTCGCGCTCCGGAATATACCCCCCCCCCTCCCCCATTTCCACAGGAGGGGGGCGCCTTGGCTACCCCTTCCTTTGAATCCCCCTGCTGGGCCCCCCCCCCCAGTTTTGGCTAAAGAGATGAGCGCCGAAGACCAAAAGGGCGCCGAAAACCAGCAAAGCGCCGAAAACCAAAGGGCCACCGAAAAGCGAATGGGTGTCGAAAACCAGAGGCGCGCCGAAAACCAAAGGAATGCCGAAAACCGAAAGGGCGCCCAAAACCGAAGGTGCGCCGAAAACCAGAAGGTGCGCCGAAAACCAAAAAGGAGAGCTGAAAACCAAAGGAGCGCCGAAAACCAAAGTGGCGCCGAAAACCAAAAGGGCGCCGACAACCAAAAGGGAGCCGAAAGCCAAAGAAGCGTCGAATACCAAACGGGCGACGAAAGACAAGGGGCGCCAAAAACCAAAAGGTGCAGAAAACCAAAAGAACGCCGAAAACCAAAGGAACGCCGAAAACCAAAAAAGGGCTCCGAAAATCAGCGGGGCGCCGAAAAACCAAGGGAGCGCCAAAAACGAAGGTGCGCCGGAAACCAAAGGTGCGCCGAAAACCAAAGGAGCGCCGAAAACCAAAGGAGCGCCGAAAACCAAAGGAGCGCCGAAAACAAAAGGGGCGCCGAAACCCGTAGGGGCGCCGAACATGAAAAGGACGACGGAACCAAAAGGGCGCAGAAAACAAATAGGGCGCCGACAACCAAAGGGTCGCAAAACACAATAAGGGCGCCGAAAGCCAAAGGGGCGCCGAAAATCAAAAGGGTACCGGAAACCAAAACGGCGCCGAAAAACCAAAGGAGCGCAGAAAACAAAAGAGGCACCAAAAACCACAAGGGCGCCGAAAACCAAAGAAAAACCGAACGGGCGTCGAAAACCGCAGGGGCGCCAAAAACCAAGGGGGCCCACACATTCAAGGACGAAAACCAGAAAGCGCCGAGCACAAAAAAAAAAAAACGCCGAAAACTCAAGATGGGCTGGAAACCAAAAAATCGCCGAAAATCGCAAGGGCACCGAAAACCAAAGGGGCGCCGAAAACCACGAATGCGCCGAAAACCAAAGGGGCGCCGAACACCCAGGGGGCCGCCGAAAACCAAAAGGATCGCAGAAAACCAAATGGGCGCCGAAAAACAAAAAGGTACCGAAAACGTAAGGGGCGCCGAAAAACTAAAGGAGCGCCGAAAACCATAGGGGCGACGAAAACAAAAGGTGCACCGAAAGCAACAGAAGCTCCGAAGACCAAAAGGGCACCCACAACCAAAAGGGAGCCGAAAACTAAAGAAGCGTAGAAAACCAGAGGGTGAGCAGAAAACAAAGAGGGCGCCCAAAACCAAAGGAGTGACGAAAACCAGCAAAGCGCCGAAAACCAAAGGGCAACCGAAAAACGAAAGGGAACCGAAATCCAGAGGCGCGCCGAAAACCGCAAAGAACGCCGAAAACCGAAAGGGCACCCAAAACCGAAGGTGCGCCGGAAACCAAAGGAACGCCGAAAACCAAAGGAGCGCCGAAAACCAAAGGAGCGCCGAAAACCAAAGGGGCGCCGAAAACCAAAGGGGCGCCGAAAACCAAATAGGCACCGAAAACCAAAGAGGCGCCGAAAACCAAGGGGCCACCGAAACCAACGATGCGCTGGAACCCAAGATGGCGCCGAAAACCAACGATGCGCCGAAAACCAGACGGCGATCAGAAAACCAAAAGGGGCGTCAAAAGCCAAAGGAGCGCCGAAAACCAAAGAGGCACCAACAACTAAAGGAGCGCCGAAAACCAAAGGGGCCCCGAAAGCCAAAGGAGCGTTACAGGCCAAAGGGGCGCCGAAAACCAAAGAGACAGGGCGCCGAAAACCAAGGAAGAACTGTACTTTCGCAGGCCCCCTCTTCAGCTCGGGCCCTCCAACTGGACAAGCCAACAGAAGGAGCGGGGCCCAACTTCGGAAGACCCCACCTTGCGAAAAAAAAGCCCGGGCCTACCCCGGGCCCCGAAAAAGGAGAGGGGGGGGATAGCTTCCAAGTCCCCACAGCTAGAAAATCGGTTCGCGTTCGGCCCTCCGCGATTTTGAGATTTCTGCTGAACGCCGTTCCAAAACGATTCAACATGTCAACATTAATATGGTTATTATTATTATTCCTCGGTTTCCTTCTCCTTCTCCTGCACCACCCCCATTGTTCTCTTCATTCCTTCAGGCCAAGGGCATTTGAACAACCCAGACAACAAGCAACAACAAACAAACAACCCAACACAACAACAACAACAACAACAACAACAAAACAAGTCCTGGGATAATCCAGGCTACAGCAGAATCCTTGCGTAACATTGCCTTTTTGCGTGCTTGATTTGCTGTTTGGAGGTTTTGCTCCTTTCGCGTGTTTTTTTGAATGATTCAACGGTTCGGCTCCGCCTCCTCCTCCTCCTCTTTTTGCTTATCCTCCTCCTCCTCCTCAACCTACTCCTCCTCTTCCTCTGCTCCTGCTCCTCCTCCTCCTCTACTCCTTATCCTCCTCCTCCCCCCCCCCCCCACCCCCATTCTTTCCTCTCCGCCAGGAGGATGGGAAGAAAAGGAGGAGAAGGAAGAGGAGCGAGCGGCCCCAGGAGGCGCCCAGGTCGGGCGGGGGCGGCGGGGCGGCAGCGGCAGCGGCGGCAGCGGGCTGCAGCAGGGAGGCCACGGTCGGGCCTCCACGCCGCGCTGCCCAGAGAAGGCGAGCTCGCGCGACTGCGTGGAGCTCTGCGACGGATCGCCGTCGCTCTCGGCACGCACACAAGAGGGTGTCAGCTAGATCACGAAGGAGACCGACAGAGAGCAGGGCAGGGGCAGGGAGGGGGCCAA